AAAGAAAGAAAGAAAGGAAAGCAGAAGTAAGGAAGGAACTAATGTAGGAGAGGAAAACAAAAGAAAGTGAGAATAACTGAAAGAAAGAAAGAAAGAAAAGGGAAGAAAAGAATGAAGAAAAATAAGCAAAAAGAAGGAAAGATGGAAGGAATGATTAGAGAGAAAGGAAAGGAAAGGAGGGAGAGAAGAACTGAGAGAAGGAAACAGAAACTGGCTTACCGTAGATGACGTCCTGCCTCTTGATGACGTCTTTCTTCAGCTGTTTCAGGTATTTTTTGTCCACAGTGAAGCTCCAGGAATCGGCTTCCAGCTCCTTCACGTCCGCCTCGAACTCCGCCATCAGGTGACCGTCCATCAGCTCCGTGCCTGAAAACCATCAGCACGTCAGCGTCTCGACGTCTCGCCCCCTCGCCGCCTCGCCGCCTCGCCCCCTCGCCGCCTTGCACGTGTCGCTGCGCCGTTTTATTACGCAACAATCGCTCGCATCGCACTCAGCTAACTAACGCAACGCAGGTTTGTTATAAATAAATAAAATTAATAAATATGTAAGTAAGTAAATAAATAAAAATGGATGTATGTAAGTACATAAATAAATAGATAAATAAATATTAAAAACATGAATAAATACATTTAAAAATAAATAAATGTAAATATGTAAATACTTAGAACGTTAAAAATCTGGTGAAAAACATTTCGTATAGTGATTATTAGCATGCTTTAGTCTTTTGTCTTTAATCTTTAATTAATAAAACTAGCTCTAACATATATATATTTTTTGTCTTTTAAATAAAGGAAAATCGCAAGATCGAGGATCTTAATCCTCCTGTTAATTCTGATAATTATTTATTTTACAAATTAAATTCAAACGTTATAAGGAATAACGAACACAGTCCCAAAACATCGGGACGTTTACCTTCGTCTGTGAGCGACTCGGTCGACTCGTTCACTTTCCCCATCTTATTGAGCGAGTCGGTGGACTGAGAGAGAATCTTCAGCGCTTTCAGAGGGGCGTCGTCCGAGTGCCTGGAGACGAGAGGAGCGCAACGACGTCACACGTCTAGCAAACCTCTCCGTAAACAACAACAACAACAACAACAAAACCAACCACGTGAACACGATGTCACGTACAGCGTTTCTCATTTCCAGCTTATTTTCCCATCTTTCTTACTCGCTCATTTTAATTCACGCTTTTAAACTTCCTTTTAACGCAAAAACAGATTTCAGTTTTATAGCAAATTTACTGATCGATAAACTTCTGTAATGCTACAGGGGGGAAAAGATCATGCTGACCTCCGACTGGGAATTATGAGTCAAAAGTTTGAAGAAAGAAAGAAAGAAAGAAAGAAAGAAAGAAAGAAAAGGTGGAGTACATAGTAAAAAGCAAAAATCGAGGAAAGAAAATTAATAAATGTGTGAAAGAGAGAGACATACTGGAGGTAAGGAAAGATCTGGAATTATGAGTTGAAAGTAAGAAAGAAAAAAGAGGAAAAAGGAAATAAAAAAAGACCTGAAGTAAAGAAAAGAAAGAAAAGAAAGAAAAGGTGGAGTACATAGTAAAAAGCAAAAAACGAGGAAAGAAAACTAATAAATGTGCGAACGAGAGAGACATACTGGAGGTAAGGAAAGTATATAAAGTATAATATTTTTTTAAAATCAAGAATCATAAGTCCAAAGTAAGAAAGAAAAAAAAAAAGAGGAAGAAACAAAGAAAAAGAACCGAAGTAAGGAAAGAAAAGAAAGTAAGAAAGAAAGGTGTAAAAGTACATAGTAAACCATCAACAAGAAGAGCAAGGAGAGATGTAATAAGAAGAAAAAGAAAGGAGAAAAGGAGATGAGAAGAATAAAGGGGAAGAGAGGAAGTGACAGCACTGAGAGTAAATTAAATAAATAAATAAATAAATAAATAAATAAAAGGAATGCTGTGGGAAGGGAGAGGCGAGCGGGAATTCCGAGTTGGAATTTTTGCCATGCGTCTACGAAAAAAATTCTTACAATAGGAATTATAGTTTATATTTAGCTATGTTTATGAAATATTAGTAAGGGGCTATGCTAATGTTTAGCATGAACGCAGCTACATGCTAATGCTAGCTAACGTTAGATTACGTCAGAAAGTTAGAAGTCGGAATAACTGGATGTTTTTCCGTCCTCCTGGAAACGCCATGATGGCGGGATCATGTTTCTTTATCAAACCTTTTGAGGTCCACGTCTATTTTACTAACAATAATCAGACACGCTGCAGACTAAACCTCCTTTAATATAAAAAGAAAATGTTATTCAGATGCATCTTTCGCTTAAAATAGTAATAAAAGAGTGTTAGCGCGTTAGCGTGTTACCCTGCGATGTTGGTGATGGAGATGCTTTTGGACAGAGAGCCGCTGTTAAAGGGCATGATGGTGGGGTTTTTCCGGGGAGGAGGGACAGGAAGCGGCGCCTGGTCTTCAGGAAGCAAGAAAGTGGACCAGGGACGATCTCGCGCTGATGCGGCTAAAAAAACAAACAAAACAAAACAAACATGGATTTATATATGCAGCGCAGGCGAAAAGCATGAACACCAACAAAACATAGCGAGGACGTTCTTCCAGAACATTCCCGCAGGCACAGGAAGTGGTGGCTCAGTGGTTAAAGATGTCAGGCTACTGATCAGAAGGTCATGAGTTCAAATCCCAACACTGCCAAGCTGACACTTGGGCCCCTGAGCAAGTCCCTTAACCCTCAACTGCTCAGTCGTATAAATGAGATAAAATGGCGTCTGTAAATAACGTAAGTCTTTAACGGTATCGTGTGTAAAATTCTGGTCGCACCAGCGAAGAAGTCTGTCACTGATAACTTCTTTTTTTTGACATAAAAACACACAAAAGCATATTTAATTTTCCTGGAATTTTTTATTTCGCACTTGAAGCAAGAAAATCTTGAAGCTGACGGACACCGTGATGTAATAAACGTAAAATTTAACCACGGCTTTGAAGTTTTAATTATTAAATTTAAAAAAATCTACAATTACAAATTACAAATGTATGACTTATAACTAGCTACTCAAGGATAACAGTAAATCTACCTAAAAAAAATTTAAAAATAAAATAAAGAATGTATTTCTTGCACGTGTCTGCTTTCATACTCGTACAGAACATGAACGTCCACTAGGGGGCGAAAACATGAAAAACTACGCGAGTCTCGTGTTTCGCT